GCTGACTTTTCGCAGTCCGCCTCAGTCCCCCAACAGCCTGTGCGGCCCTTGGAAACCCGAGCGACGACCGAGCCGGTATATTTTTCGATGGCGTCAGTACCATGAGTGGCAGGTGGCTGAATTTTGCGGATACTTGCCACGGTCTCCAACCCTCCTCCTTTCTCAACCGTGCTTCTGACCGGCCATGGCGGAGTTTGGTCTGGTCATACCAGAGTGAAGGAGGTATACGGTGATGACATTCGAGGCGAGGAGTCAGTGTGGCTGAAACTCGCCTTGAACCACTTGACAGCTGATTATTCGGTGGAATAATCCGCACGAGGTGTAACCCCGATTTCGAACCTGTTTTATGTTACCCTGGAATATAAATGGCGGGTTGTTGTCAATCAGTCAATCTCGATGACCTCTTATCCTACTGGGTAACGGAGGCAACGCCTCATACTGTCTGCAGTGTTTCCGATTATATGCCAGCGTTTGAACTTAGGCGGAAGGTGACCCGAATCTAAAGTTGAATATGTCGAAACACTTTATTACTATAATGTTATATGAGTTTTCAATTTAGTGTGCAATTTTTAGTAGTCTTCTCATGACTTTTGGCTTATTGGCTTTTAAGTACCTGGTCCGGTTTAGTCGAGGCCATTTGAAGAGCTCTAGAGTGCTCTGTCGTTTGCTGTATTCTTCCAGAAAACCGAATACGATGAAATTGGACAGCCCGGAGTTTCACTCGTTGTTTACTCCCGAGTTGGAAGTTGTTATAAGCATGTTCAAGTAAGAAACGATTTGTCGCTTTGTAACGGTGGCTACTTAGTGTATGTTAGCTTAATCTTATTTACGCATACGATGGTTATTGAACTATGAAAGTGAGTCAGATGTATTAAACAGATGATATGGTAGAAACTGCTTTTCTGTGCATTATGAATCGTTATATTAATCAGCCAGTGAATTGTCTGATCATCTTCGATAGGTTGACTGTATTGTACACATTGGAGCAAAGGAGGTTTACTAAAATTCATCTGCTATCAGCACCAACATTCGCAATAATACGATATATGTCTACATGCAGTGTATGGATTTAAAGTACCAATTTGAACAGAGAAAGAAATGAATCTGTATAAATGCGATTTCATCATGGATTGGTTAGAAAAAAGCAGCTTTTGCTCGGTAGGATCTTTCGTTACTTTACAAAGCAAGAATAAGCTGGACTCGGTTCTGACTCAGATTTCATCAGAACTGCCACTAACGTCTCGGCGCTTTGAATTGGCTGTTGAATATTTTCTGTTCAAAAAGTGGTGAGAGTTTTCTAAATCTTTTTGCCAGTAGTAGTGCAGTCAGTTTATTTGGTTTATAAATTGACAGCTGACCTATTTTGTGCTCTTAGTGCTGTTTAATATAAAAGTTTTTTCTTCCTTACAGTAATACGGTTGTGTTGTTTCTGTCTACCAGTTACAGCCGTACCCTCCATTTGCAAGCTGCAGTGTGTTGGCACGATGTCTGATAGGTCTGTGTCGAACTCCATAGATGCCTAGTTTGATTCCTCTGTAGGGCGGCCTTTGTCTTGTTCGCGAATTCCTTTGACTCAAGAATTAATCACACATTGCTTCAGACAGGGGTTGCTCAGTCGATAGGGCGTCGAAGATAGATTGCGAATTCGAGCCCTGCTTGAGGTCACTCGTCATTCTTCCTTCCGAGGTTGATAAACTAATACACATTGTGAGAAGGAAACCGGAAACTACACCCTACGCTCTCCAGGTGCTGTAAACATTGCCTTTGAAATAAAGTACTCCTGGCTGATGGCACAGAAAAGGTGATCAGCACTGCACCATCATCTTAATGAAAAGAAGTGCGCCAAGATGACATTCGTGAAAGTGAAAGAAGTGTGGCATTCCATTGGTGACAAACTTTTTTTCCTTTCCATCTGCAGGGGGAGGTCAGAGCATAGCTGAGGCCGGTACCGTGACTGCGAGAAACTGTTTATAATTGCAGTATGAGTTGTTTTCGGTTAAGGTGATTGTATAAAGCATCGTGCAGAGCGTATATGGATGGATGGTGGTTTGATGTAAGTGAGGAAGGAAGTGTCGGTTCTGTGTAGCGTGGCCTACCAAATGCTTTGCTCTAATGGATTGTGATTACCACGTTATTTGGCCATAAAGGTGACAGCTTCTGGCCCTGTGGTACAGGACGTCGTTAGTAAAAGGGGAGAGGCAGCAAGATCATATCGGCGGTTGAACCAGTGCTGTTGTGTTCTCTTTTGTGTCAGAACTTTTTAGGTGAGCATACAGTCAAGTTAAATACAATTCGCGCTCGAGAGAATGCAGAAAGGAGGGAAAACCCTTTCAGTTAGGCAGAGACGGTCCATTGGTCAGCTGATTATGCTTTCAGTGTACAAGGCAGGTCGAGTATAAATGGCAGCAGAAAGACACAACAGCTTGACTGAATATGGACTCGCACAGGTGGTACCCAACATTTTTAAGAAACAGTTTATTGATCCTTAGATACTGAGTAACCATTCTAACGGATAGTATATATTCACTCTTCAGCAAATCCTTAGTGTCATTCATTGTTGATAGATGCGAGGAAGCGTCTAAGGGCAGTTTTTTCTGCCGAGTAGATTCAGTGTCTGATCGATCCTACTATTTGTCGTTAGATACTTTATTCGTATTTAAGATGTGATAGTTTTTTGAGAAATATTCTGCAACAGGTAATAATGTACTGGTGTAATCGCAAATCACATTTGCTATTCTGCCTTGTACTTTTGCGTAGCTGTATTTTGCTTGCTCTCAAGTACCTTTT